TCTTCTTATGATGAACCTTTTAATATTAAAAATTATATTATTAATAAATTAGTGCCACCACCATCACCACCACAGGAAATCGAAGACGATGACGACGATCAACAAAATTTTAATAATAATGATTATCATGATAGTAACTTCTTTTCAAATATGGTATCTAAAAAGTTAGAAATCGTCGAAGAAGAAGAAGAGGCGGAGGAGGAGGAGGAGGCGGAGGAGGAGGAGGATGAAGGGGGAAGGACTAATGAATTAGGAGGGATTGGTGAGTTGGATGAAATTGATGAGTTAGATGAAGAAGAGATTGATGATGAAATAATTAATAATAGTTCCATCATACTTGTAAACAAAAAATCAGCCACAAATAATGACGATCATATAAATAAAAGGAAACTGTTGTTATCAAGTTGTCTGCAACATGTTTTTGACTACTTAAAAGATGTCGATAACGATTAAAAAACTTTATATTCATGTCTGTTTTTAAATCGTGAATGTTTAAATCTGGTGGTTCCATTATTATGGCGAAATCCTTTCAAGTCTGATACAACACTCAAGCGGTCAAATTCATTAATACAAACATATTTAACATTGTTGGATGATAAAGATAAAAAATCTCTTAATAGTATTGGAATAGTAATAAACAGCAACAGCAACAATAGTAACAATAACAATAATGATGGCAATCATTATAGCAACAATCATTACAGCAATAGTCGTATAAATTCAAGATATTCAACAACGACGACATTGACAACACAAAGAATTGCTATTAATTACGCAAAATATTTACAAGAATTTGATAATTATCCAATTGAAAATTATGTTAGGTCATGGTTAACATCATTATCGTCAAATCATAATGATTTAAATTTCTATAAAAGATTTTTTATAATAAATCAATATCTTTCAAAGATGTTGATAAAAACAGCAGAAAATTTACAAATTTTGAAAATTAGTCCCGATTATAACAATTACGAAGACTTTACCAACAACATCAACAATAAATCTAATGCTAATTATAGTTCACATAGTTATAATAATTTTGCTACTAATTATAATAATCATTTAGTCGATTTCTCATTAACAAATGGCGCAAAATACTCCTTGTCAAAAGTTAAAACTTTTAGTCTAGATTATCACATTGAAAATGAATCAACCAGGACAAAGGTTTTAAATTTATTATCAATGTTGTCATCATCATCATCTCCTCATTCTTCATATGATAGCGGAATTGAAAAAGTAACTTTAAAAATCAGATATTATAAAGAAGAATTAATTAGACCCAAGATTGGTCAATATTTGAACTCGTTTATTAAATCGTTAAGAAATTTAAAATATTTGGAAATTGAAAATTATACTGATATCAACATTACATCATCGATACTTTCTTCTTTTGATAACAACAACAACAATAATAACAACAGCGACAATGGTTCAAATCTTGAATATTTAAAATATGAAGGTATGGTTGACTTGGTCGCTTTATTGAAATTATTAAATAATTGTAGGAAACTGAAGACTTTGGAATTTGATGGATACTTTGATCCAAATAAATTATTATCTGTTAACAATAATATCAACAATATCATCAATAACGTTGATGTCAATAATGGAAACTATCAATTTAATTTCGAAAAATTAATTTTCATGTCGGATATTTCAAGTCAAAATCCATTCAGTTCAACTAGAACATATATTTTATCAAGGTTATTAAAATGTGTTAATAAAAAATTAAAACATCTTTATTTAAGTGGCATAACACAAGAAATATTAGATGTGATCTCGGAACATAACACCGAATTAGTGACATTACACCTGAAATTGATTGATTTAAATAATGTAACATTGAAAAAAATATTAACGTCAACATCAAAAACATTGAAAGAATTATTTTTAGGTGACACACATTTTGATTTATCATATATTGAATCATTGAATAATAATGAAAAATTTATTGTCGAGTTGGCTAGATCTATACCTGAAAATGTTGAAACGTTGGGAATAAATTTTTGGATGGATACAAAATACGTGAAATTATTTTTATCGAATTTATCAAATTTATCAAATTTACGGAAAATAATTTTATGTAGAAATATCATGATCAAGGATGAAGTATTAATTGAAATTAAAGATTTTATTAAAGGGCAGAAGGAGCTGAGGGAAAAGAAAGGGGGAGAAGAATTGTTGATAAATTTAAAAAAATTATATTATTTACCGGAGGAATGGATTAGATTTAATCAAAAATTTATTGGCTTTAGTCAATCAGAAATTGAAAAGGCTAAAGAATTTATTCCTATAATCAAGGAGTTTAATCAAAGAATTTAGTTAACAATAATAAACAATAATTTTTTTTAATGTTGATTTTTTTTTTATTTTAATTACAAGTTCAAATCCATTCCATCTCAATAATTTTTTTTTTTAATTAATTCGATATTCTTTTTACCCTTGAAAATTTTTAATGTAAAATATTTTTTTAATTGCTCAGTTTTATTTAATTGTTCTTTTTTTTTTTTTTTTTTTAATAAAAATATTATTTATTATTATTATTTTTTTTTAAAAATTAATTTTTTGTATTTTTACTTGTAATTTTATTTTATTATTTTAATATTAATCAAGTGTATTATATTGTAATTTTTTTTTAGTAAATATCAAAATTCTTCTTTTTTTTAATATTAAACAAAATTAAAAACGAAAAAATTAAAAATCTTTAAAAGATCATAATGTTTTTCTATTATATAATCGTTCGTTCAGTACATACCTATATCTATCTATTTATCCGATAATGAATTCATATCATCAAATATTATTCAAAACCTAGTTTTCTCTTTTTTCGTCGTTTTTCTCTTTTTCTTTTCCTCGTCTAATTTTTGTTTTTCCAATAATTTACGATTTCTTTCTTTTTCAAACTCATGTTTTTTCTGCATTTCTTCTCTACGCATTCTCTCTTCCTCTTTTACCACATCTCTATTACGATTCTTTTGTGCCAATAATGATGATGATGATGATGTTATTGGATGGGTTTGTCCAAATATAGATTGCATGATAGAAACAGGTACGGAATTACATTTCTTCAAATGTTGTTTACACCTTCCAAGAGCTTCATTTAACTCATAGTTACAATATTTGCAACTTGCTCTATTTTGCTTATAACCACTAACTTTACCCAATCTGGTAAAATGAGACCAAATGTCTGAATTTGTCATTTTTAAAGAATAGTATAAATGTTTTACGGGTAATTTTAATGATAAAAAATTTAATTAAAATGTAAAAATGCTGTTTAATTTTAATTGGGTAAAATTTAATTTCCGCATTTTCTGTATGTGACATTGCATGATTTGAAAAAAAATCGTGCGCATTGCATTTTTTTTTCATGCGCATGGAACATCTCTAGTTCTCAGTTGTAAAATTTCATTATTATTATTATCACGTGATAAAGATCGGCCATTAAAAATTCAAAATTTTCAATTCTTCCAATTCGTTCATTTTTAATATATTTTTTTGTGTAACACGCCATCTGGGGGGTTAACATAGTAAATTCGTGAACTTTGATGCATCGTTCCTCTATGGTAACGTTACATATCAATGAAATGAAATCATTGGATTGTAGGTAAAAGTCTTAGCTTTAATTCTATGATTTGTTTTTTTGGTCATACATTTCCATTTTTGGAGGAGATCAAGAATCTACACAGCCAATAAAAAGTTCAGTGACTAAGTGACTTGCACTATATATTATATATAAAGGGAAATAGATATTAAATCATTTACCAAATGTCAAGGTTACAACAAATCAGAAAAACAACTAGATTTTTTCAGAAAATGCATTGATTTTCATAAATCTTGGGACTCTATATGTAACATTTATCGTTATTCAATGGCTTCTGAGTTGATCTGGCTTTACGTTAAAAATGAAAAAAATCCAAGGTTATCTTGAATGGTCCAGAACTCAAACAAATGAAATCTATAAACTTAAATTTGAGCAAGTTAAGTTTTAATTATATTTTTCAATGAATTAATCTAATAAAAAAATTAGTAAATAATGCTGATTATATTTATTTACACTAGACTTTTATTTACCTGCAAGCAATTATAAACTTTTGCATTGGTGTAAGAACAAACAATCCCTTGCTACAAAATGCAGCTAGATGTCAATTTGCACCAGTATGGTCTGCTAGTAGACATCCAATCTATAAATTATTGGAAGTATCACATGAAGCACTTTTGTCATGTTTAAAACCTTCAGTTGGAAAAAACATTGAAAAGGCATCAGTAGTTTCTAGGTCTGGACTTTGGAATCAACATCAAGGCCTTGATGCAATATTAGAAGAATTCAATAAATCATTAAAATCTATGATTCCTCCAATACCTTCTCAACATCATTGGGAAATTGCAGCAAGAAATTGCAAAAATTTCATGAAGGTAAGTAAAGTTCACTTTCTCTATAATAGATCTTTCTATAATAAATCTTGCTCTATAATGGACTGAGAATTTAAGCCCAATTTATATGTTCCATATTAACATATAATCTATGATTCCAAATGGTCCATTATAGAGTAAACTGTAATTTAAACCAAATTAATTCTAATAGTTTAAAAATTTAGCTACATTCCAATCTTTTTAATATGATTAGATTTAAGGAAAGAGAAAATTTGGAACCATAAAAAATACCTGATTTTAGTGCTGAATCACAACGTTTTAGAGTAGAACTGAGAAAGAACCAGTTTTTCATAAGAAGCCATTTTAGGAATTTGAAAGATGATGTTATTTTGAGTGAAAGAATGAAAAATTTTAGTCATCTTGCAAAAGAAAAAAGGAATATATTGTTGAAAGAAATCTTATTGCAAGGAGCTTCTACTAATACCTGGCATTCTATTCCAATAACAGAACAAGAAGAAACAGCACAGCAAGATGAAAAAAATATGAATAAAAAAGAGTTGTTATTGTGAGATAGTAAAATGAGGACCGATAGAGAGGTCCCGCGTTGCCGATCCAACCAAACCAAATTACTGCGGAAGTCA